AGAAACATAGAACATATAAGCTGAGACCGAAATGGCACATGGGAAATGAAATAATTATATTATAACTTATTCATTTGCGCCATCCATGCAGTTGGTTTAGAATGCCAAACGCGTATTAAAAACAGTGGACGGGTCGCCGGTCACAGCATTCATCTAATTAACGTACTTCCCATGTGCCATTTCGGTCTCAGCTTCTATGACGTTCTATGTTTCTTAACCCGACAACGATTCTTCAATTGAGTGTATATAAATATATAAAAAGATCAATTCGGAAAGAACAAGAAAAATTCTAAGTGACTTCCACCCATTCAAGGTTATGATTTATAAAATAATTGGGATACTACGCGCGCTATGATTGGTCGAAAACCATGTTTGAGTATCAAAATGATACCGAGAGATATGAGAGTATCAAAACACGCTATCGTCATTTTTAATCTATCGCGCGCGCTCATTGGTCAGTTTGAATAAGACTGCACGTAGGGAGAATTTACTTAGACTTTGCTTTTTTTCGATCTTTTCGCGCGTTTGTTATTTTATAAAACAAATCAAAAACAGTTTTCTGTGTTTGATACTCTGATCAAAACTTTTGGGACGCTCCTCTCGTGTTCTCCCAACATCCCGCGTGTTTTGATCAGAGTATCAAACACGKAAAACTGTTTTTGATCTGTTAAATCAAAGGGACAACAGGAGTGGAATTTTAGAACTTTGCTTGATTTTAGTTTCATATGACTAGACGCCATGTTTATTTCCGAGTGATTGTTTGAAGAAAAGAACTTGTGTTCTGGAAAACTTGGTAAACATGTTCGTATGCAATTAGAAGAACTAACAGATACACCATCTGAGTGAGAGGATGATATTATTGGGGGATTAAAGTGAACTTGTTTGTTTTATTTATAAATAGTTGTCGTCATTTCAAAATAAGTAAATCGAATGATTTGAATTATTCAGATATTCGAATCTCGTCAATATGTTTAGGGAGACTAACTATGTTTAGTAACAT